TTGTTCACGGCTTTTACAACTCGAGTACCAATTTATCGAAATCCATATCAATTAAAGTCAACACAAGAATCGCCTTTTATTGTGATGACAGCTATATATTAGAGGGCTCTCCAAGTATGACATGTCTATCACAACTCATATCTAACGCAAAACTTATGACAATTATGCCGAAAGACATCCAATTGGCCCGTCGTATACGTGGAGAAAGAGTTAAGTGCCACACTCTGGCCATTACTACAAACGGCTCTTTTTAGGGCCAAACTAAACCATTGATTACTTGGGTCTAAATTGTTATATGCCTTCACTTGTAATTCATTTATTTATTCTTTATTATGTAAATAAATAATTGTTTGCTTTAAGTATAGATTTATAGCTATAAGGAATGGATTTAGATCTTTAGATTAAAATCCGTTGAATATATAATTAAAATATAATTAGACATTTTGTCCAAAAAATCATATATTTATTTAATGTTTTTTAGATTTAAATATTGTTTTAATCTATTTATTAAATGTAATAATTATTGTCAATAATGAGTACAAATGGATAGCATTTATAACCCAAACTGTAATGAATTGCAAAAAACAAAAGTTTTCACACATTATATTTGATGTGTGTGTCTGTGTGCCTATGAAAGCATGTGTTGTGTGATTAATTTTTTTACAAACTTTATAACAATTATAATTAATTTATAGATTTGTGCAGTAATTGTTATTAACTTTAATGATAGACTGGTTGTCGACACCAATCGATCCCATGATATGCCGCCCAAAAAGAGGGTCCGCTTTGAATCTTAATTGTTTTATCAATTAATTTGTGATTTATTTGCTTTCAATTAAAAATCAATAAATTTTATGTGAAATCAAACATTAATTAATTATAACAATATATATAATCCTATCATTGGGTTCATTGACTAAAACTCAACAAATAATTGATTCAAAGGATTCAAAGCCAGAGAAGAAAGTTTGCGATCAATTGAATAGCAATTGTCATGAATTGAATGATAACTGCATTGAATGCAAAGTCAACTACTCTTGTGTTTACGGACAACAACTGGACCTCAATTGTCGGCCCATCGAAGGCATCACTTGTATCGTAAGTGTCAACACGTGTCCACTCAATCATACCTAACCTCATGTCATATGAATTTTGTCCCAAAAACCAAAGGGTGAGACAAACTTCACGCGAAGACATTTGTGTGCCTTTTGCTATCAATTGCCGCAACACTTATACAACTGTTGGCCAAACTCTTCGTGTGATTACAACTCCCGATTTACGGACGAAACTGGACTGGACGTGAAATGGATTGAGTGTTCAAAATGTTTCAGATGGTATCATATTAAATGCCATCCTGGTGATTTAACACAACTCGAAGAACTGAGCACAGTTCCAGTAAGATTTATTTGAATTAATATTTTGTAATATTTTAAATTATTATTATTATTTACAGATTGATAATAATACGTGGAAATGTTTGTTTTGTTTTCATAATGTTTAATGAATTTGAGTTTTCATTATTATTGTGGCATAACTCTGCTTAACTTTGGTGATCGAACGATAACTTGTGTTTTCAGTGTGATATGTGGCACACCCTGTATATAAATTTGTATTTTAATTTTATTATAGCAATACTGGGAGTTGTTTTCGTGGGTTACGTCAAAGCTTAGAGACGGCGGTCACCTCTGTTTTAATCCACATCTAATCCTCAATTATTGGGCTAAAGATCGCAAAAGAATCGATGATTTGATTGTCGAAAATCAACGATTAGAGGCAGAAATTCTGTCTCTAAATGAAGATAAAAATGCATTGAAATCGGCAAAAGAAATGTTTGAAAATGAAAACAACAATTTTAATATCGAAAACAAAAATCTAATCATTGAAAACAAAATTCTATTTCAAAAGAATCAACAATTAAGCATTGATGTAACAGAGTTTGTCAATCATTACGACAAACATCTCAAACAATTTGATATCCAATGAATTTGAATTGTTTTATCACTTTATTGTTGATTATTATCTCTAAGTCTATACACAACTCTCAGAACAAATTCAATTTGTAATTGTATTCAATTGTTCGCGTCTTTTGTTAATTTGTTTTATCTTTAATTTATTATTTGAATTCAATTTACAGTTAATTATTATATTGTATATGAAATACCAAATGGAATATAATTTTATTCGTTTCTAAACATTCCTTATATAATATTAATGCCGATAATTATTATTCTGTTTGAATGTATTTATAAATTATTATTCCGTTTATTATTGAATAACCAAATGGTTTTAAATCATATGTAAACTAAACAAATCACTTATTTGGCTAAACTTTTATTTGTAATTATATTCATTGATATAATTAAATATCGAATCTCTTCTCTTCTAATCGTGAAATATATGCAGAAAACGAAATGTCTTTTCAGAAAACATGTCAGAAATATAGATCATAGCTTATAAATGATTGCTTTAAATACTGTGTTAATTACAATTGTAATATCAGAGTCCGATACGTGACTGCATTCCTTTTTTTATATAAGTATTGCATTTTATATTTAAGATTATGCTTATGTTCACCAAATATGTTCAATCATTTGAAATTAATTATACAATAATTAATTATATATTTTTTTCATTTATTATTTGTTAATTATTAAATACAAATATGTAAAAATGCTATCCATTTATACTCATTATTGACAATAATTATTACATTTAATAAATAGATTAAAACAATATTTAAATCTAAAATGCATTAAATAAATAAATATATAATTTTATGGACAAAATGTCTAATTATTCAAATTATAGCTGTCTTCGGCGGTAAACACAACAGCTTTGCTGTCAATGCTATTCAACTGTTTGGTGTTAATGAGGTCGACATCATTGCGATGCGTGAAGTCGTGTGGGACACAAGTCCTTGCAATTGAGATCATTGTTGTAAGTGTTGAGTATTTGAGTGGTCATCGATTGGTCGCAATTTCCGATCCGAATGTTTGACAATAACTTAATAAATGTTTTGTCGGTTTGTCTCTTGACGTGACTTAATTCAAACGAATTGGTAATGCATTGATCCCAAGAAGCGCTCTGAAAGGCAAGACACTTCTCCTCATCCCTGCGAGTGATGGGCGGTAACTGAAAAATGTCTCCGCAGACGACCACTTGAATTTCGCTGAAGGGTTGATTGCAATTGCGGACAATTTTGGCCACACTATCGACTAATTGGATATATTTGCCGCAAACCATCGATATCTCGTCGATCACAAGGCATTTGCATTTCCGCCAGCGATTCAGTTTGGATGCGTTGGCCATCAGTGTCTTCGCGCACTCTTCGGCAGTGCCTTTGAGGCTCTGGTCAGGCGTCAGACCCGTAAACATATGCAAAGTCATGCCTCCGATATGTTAGGCGGCGATCCCAGTGCTGGCCGTCACGTAAGTGGTGTCCGGCGCAGACGTGAGATAATGAACCGCAACAGAAACGACTTCCCGGTGCCGGCGCTGCCCGTGAAGAACACGTTCCGGCCGTCAACTACGGCACACATCACTCGCCTCTGTTCGTCAGTCAACCCGATTTTGTTCAACAGTTTCATGTGTCGCACCGGCGATGGTATGAGTGCTGAGATGGCCGCGCGTTTGGCGCCCGGACTCCGGTTCTCGTTTCGTTAAACTCTTTCTGTCGTAAGTTTTGGTCGATTTCGGCGACTCGTTGACAGTCTTCACGTTTCGCTCGTTTTGTTTGCTTTTCAACAAAACGTTTCGTTTGATGTCTTTGTCAGTCAATGGACTCATTTCGTCAAACACTGACTGCTTGTCGGCAATCAATCGGCGCCTAATGTTTTGTCCACCACTCGTGTGGCCTTCGGTTCGCTTATAATAATCGCATTTAAAGACAAAACACTTGAGAAACAGAGACAACTGATTGGACGGACAGTTGGACAGAAAGAGCCGTACGTTTAGATCAGTTAGAGTGACACTGGCTTTGCCTTCGGCCACAAACCGTGTGTTGAGTTTGTAATTGAGTTTATCGGCCAATAGTTTGAACTCTCGGATCCGTTTCCCACACTTTCTGTCGTCGATTCTGATGATAGTGTCTCTGAACTCATTCCTCCCGACGCTTACCATCGCTTCGGAAACCACACACTGATTGGCCAGACTCTGGTCCCGACAATAAGTTTCAATAGACACACAACACATGAGTTTTGGGATTTCAACACTCATTGCAAACACACTATGAAATCATACGTTAATTACAAACAAAACACAATCGATTTCCAATTGAAATCATGTGTTAATTAATGTAAACAATAAAACAATTTAGTTAAAAATAATTATCTTTATATATGTAAACAACTCTATGTACAGATTGTCTATATTTTTTGTTGAATAAACTTATATGTGATTCGTTTGCGTAATTTATGCGCGAAGAATATCCAGATTTTCATGAACCCAAAATAACATGACTAATGGTACTTGTCTCATACAAATAGTTTACATTCTTCTATATTTCATATTTATAAAACATTTGTAACTTTTACTAAAACAAAGTTAATGAACATTTGTTTCAAGTAAAGCAATGACCAAATTATAAGCACTTCATTATTCAGCACAACCGCAGCCAATGTGTTAACTCTTCAATTCATATGTTATATAATATACAGTAATTTGTATAGAAAATTGACGTATCGTTCAATTGCTGTGCATTTCTTTCAAGTAATTTGTTATTCATTTTCAGTGAATTATGCAATCATTTCGTATGAATTGTTATGTATTGAGAGAGCAATGCATTCAATGACTAATTAAGTTTCGTATTCAATAAGTACTGTGTCTTCAATGCTTGCGATTGAATCGATTCAATCAAATCCCAATCAAATCCCAGTCAAACCCCAATCAACACACATATGAATAGCCATTCAATCGTCACTACAATTGTAATTGAAGTGAATCTAAATTCAATCAAAAGTCAATCAATTGATTGTCTCATTGAAATTCAATGATTGAATGCTTGTCTATATATTGACGTAATTGTTGTGAGAGCTGTAGAGAAGTGACGGCAAAACAAAAGTGGTTCGCAATTAACGCTATTTTGTGTCATATTTTGTGATCAATAAATAGATTATTCATTGAATTGATCGTCGATTCAATCAAATCACTCGTCGTTTGCATTCATTATAACTATAATTACTATTAATTATGAAATTAATGGACATTTCGTTGACTAATAATTCAATACATGTATTAAACACTCATTTATTGTTTGATTTGAATCTAAACTAACCATTGATTGAGTGATCACTCGATTGACACACTTTTGAATGAATCCAAACAAACGAGACATGAATTGCGAACCGAATTACGTGTTT